GGGCTAAGGCAGGGCTGCCCTCCCAACCAAGGGCTAAGGCAGGGCTGCCCTCCCAACCAACGGCTAAGGCATTCTCAGTCTCCCAATCTTTGTGGCCACAATGACTTTCACGATAGTTACACCAAGCTAAATACTGCGGCTCGCCCTTGCAGGCAACAACCACGCATCCTTTGGTGGCAAGCCAAAGGTCTTCCAGTGCCTCAGCTAAGCACACAGTTTCCCACCTCTCTGAGGAGAAAACTCACCATGCAATCCCCCATGCCCACATTTCTCTACATCCCACCCACCCTCTCTTCCTTCCCTCCTGGTCTCAGGGGACCAAGTGCCTCCTAAGTCTACCTGTATTCGTGAGTCTGTTCACTCTCTAAAGCTTATGTGTATTAAACGTTTATTATTTGCCAGACCCAAAGCCTAACTGAACTAAGAATTATGATTCCTATTTTATGTGAACAAACAGGCCTGAACAGGTTAAGTGATTTCCTCAAGATCAAATGGCTGATAGAGGATGGAGCAGAGATCTGAACTGCATTCTGCTCCATGAGAGAGCCTGTGCTCTTAACCAATGTAACAGGATTCCTTGTTCATTTATTCATTCACTCATTCAACATCTATCTTATAACTATCCCCATGTTTGACACTGGGGTTTCCATGGGGAATAATCCCAGCTGCTTCCTTTGAGGAGCTCTCAGGGACTGGAGGAGACACACCGGAACAAGATAAAACACAGCTAGAATGGTGCTATGAACAGAGTCAACAGGAACAGGGAAGGGGCAAGTCACCCATTCACTCAACCTCGTCTCCCATGCCCTTGAAGTTCCAATTTCTCCTTTTTTTTTTTTTATATAGATGCCTAACCACACTGTCTCAATGATGTTTCCAACAATCTCCCAATCTCTTGCATGACTAAAAACAAGAAGTAGAGAACCTCCCCACACTCAAACAACCCCAAACCTCTTGACCCTTCCACTTCCCACCCTGGAATGTTGGCACTCTCCTCTTTCACTTTCACAGCCCAGTGGAAGGAAATCTCTTAGGAATCTACAACCTGCTCCTGCAATGGAAAAACAGTTTCCTCTGAATCTTCACTTTCCTTCACCTCTTGGCAGCACTTATACCCCTAACCTCCTTTCCCAAAATTGTCCTCCAAACCCTCAGAAGTCCAGCTCTCTTCTTTCCTCTAACTACACAAGCTTTCCCACAGTCCCAACACCACCTCCATCAATGATGCCAAATCCTCCTCCAACTGCCAAAATCTCTTCCTATCTGTAGACCCACCTGCCACTGCCCACCTAGGAGAAACTGTTGCCCCTCAAGCTCAAACTGTTGAAAATTGAAGCCAGCTCCCTCCCTGCAAAACCTGCCCCACACCCTCTGCCTTTCTTACCCCTTCTAAGAGCAATGCCACTCCTAGTTTTTGAGGCCCAACACTTTGAAGTCATCCACAGCTCTTCCTCTTCCCTGACTCTACCTACAAGGCCAAGCCACACCCATCAATCTCAGTCAGCAAGGCCTGTCTCACCCTTGTCAGTCACGTCCAAGTCCTTGTTCCTGTTACAGTGCTCCCCACTCCTGTCCACATAGACACCCCATGCTCCAGAACCTTCACAGTTCTCCATAGTTGACTGCTAAAAGGCCACACTCCCTGGCGTATCCTTCTGTTAGCTCTTTCTGCTCTTCCATTCCCATGGCAAAAGCTCCAAACTAGATTTGTTGTTGTTGTTCCCAGAACATGGCCTGCTCCCTTCCTGACACAGTGCTGTAGACAGCACCTCCTATATACAATGGCCTTGCTCCACCTATTGAAAGCCTGGTCCATTCATTTCTCAAGTTAATGGCATGTGGAGGAGGGGGAACAGATTACTCTAGATTAAAATAGTCTACAGTCCCTAGGTGGTGCAATGGTGCATTCAACTACTAATCGATAGGTTGGGGGTTAGAACCCACCCAGCGGTGCCACAAAAGAAAGGCCTAGCGATCTGCTTCCAAAAGATTACAGCCAAGAAAACCCTATGGAACAGTTTTACTCTGTAACACACGGGGTCCCCATGAATCAGAATCGACTCAACAGCAATAGGTTTGCTCTTTTTGGGTGTGTGTGCCACCCTCACAAATCGATGGATCCAGGAAGTGATCATCAATAGCTCCTAGCATTATAGACAGACAACTAAGGAATGTTCCTCATGATGGAAGTACTCACCACCACCAATTAAATATTGCATCAATCACTTAGTAAAATCTGGATCTGATAAAGTCTCTAGACTTAACTACCAACATGGAGGAAATAGAGGAACAGAAAAACACATTAAAAAACACTATGAGGATGCAATAAATAAAATTCAGACTATGGGAAACAATACAGGACAAACTACCCAGATACTTTTTTTAAGCAAGTAAACAATGGAGGAGGGAACCTATAGATTAAAGAGATACAATGAAATGCATTTTATAGTCGTTATTTGGATCTTGATCCGAACACACTTTAAAAACATGGAAGAATTGAAAAAATTTGAGCACAGCTAAATATTTGATGATATTGATAAATTATTATTAATATTTTAGGTGTGGCAATGGTACTGTGGTTAAGTAAGAAATGTCCCTTTTTGAGATGCATAATCAGTTACTTAGGGCAAAATGTCACGACATTTATAATTTAATATACTTCAGAAAAAATAACATAGCAAATATTGTAAAATGTGAATAATGCTTAAGTCTAGGTGATGTGAATGAAGACTTAGACACTTTACTGTTTAAGTTCCTCATTCTACTCCTGGATTTCTAACCTAAGTTATAATCAAAAATAGGGAGCAAGAGAGTGACGGAGGGAGGGAGGAGATCATCTTAATCACTTATTTAATAGCTGCCATCACTCAGTGAGGAGACACTCTCTTTTTACAGATTAGGGAACAAAGGCTTGGAGAATTAAAATAATTTGCACACAGGAACTGATGGAGTCAGAATTTGAATCCAGATCTCTATCAAACCCTATCCTACTGCCCAATGACAGCTAAGAAAACGACAGCCACAACGTGAAACAGCAGCAGACCTAGTACGTGTTAAGTCAATATTCACAGAGAGGGAGGTGGTATGTGATTGACAAGTGCTTGTTCCCCTCTTCATTTCTGGACCCCTAGCATCCAGTCAGGTGGTCAGTCCAAAGGAAAGTGTTTAGCAGCTTGCTGGACCTGCTACAAGGGTAGGGGGCAATTCCAACCCACAGAGAGCAGCAGCTATTGAAGGCAGCCAAGATTGCAGGCCAAGGCCAGTGGGGACAGAGGCAGAGAGCTCAATCATACCCTTATCTGAAAACATCAGCACCTCCAGTTCCTCGACTCCTCGCCATATCTAGTACCAGGCCACACGATGAGTGCTCTACCCACCTCCTATAGTACAAGTGGAGCCCTGGTGGTGCAGTTGTTAAGTGTCTGGCTGCTAACCAAAAGATCGGCAGTTCAAATCCACTAGCCACTCCTTGGAAACCCTATAGGGTAGCTCTACTCTGTCCTATATGGTCACTATGAGTCAGAATCGACACGACAGCAACAGGTTTGGTTTGGGTTTTAGTTATAGTACCAGTAGCCTAAGCGGTGAGGAGAACCTCGCCCTGGCCCGGCTCTGCTGCAAATCCACAGTATAACCTTTGACACCCTGGACGCGGCTGTCCCAGTGCTACCTTGTAAATGGGGCATCTGAGATCGGAACTCACATCTTTCCAACGCCCAAATCTCAGGTTTGCTACTCTCAGGTGAACCACAAATACAAAATGAGGCACCAGACTGCATCATCGTGATCCCTCTGGGCCCACACAGACATCTGATCCCTGTCTGGGGGATCTGCAGACAAGTCACCACATGCTCGAGAGGTGATAGGGGGAGAGGTGGAGGATCCAAGACATCCCACAGACCCACGGCTCCGTTTGTGAATGCTGCTGCTCCCAGAGCTGATACGTCACCTCCCACATTTGACCCCCATAAAAAATGGGTGCAACGGGGGTCCAGGAGGAAACGGACAGCAAAGAAGTATCACCTGACAGTACCTAGCTTCTCCAGTCCGATGTACTGAAGACTTCTAAGATTCTAGCAATTAAAGAAAGCTTTTGTATAGAAGTAGAGAATTTTCCATTGCCTTTCCTTTTGTCAAAAAGGGGGAAAAACAGGAAAACAAAGTGGCAAAACTGAATTATTCATCCTGTGCAGGCTTTTCATGAAAAAAACCCAACTCACACTTGCAAGCCCTTCCCCAACCCCATGCGACGCACTATGAAGACAGCTGACAGAAAGTGGCCTGTCATACCTGGGCTCACACAGGAAGGCTGTGTTTTCACCATCCGCTCGCCACACCAGCCACTCCCTGAAGGACGGGTGGCAAAACATGCGGGTTCTATCTCGTCGCTTAATGAGGAAGCAGGAGAGGGCATCCATCCTCTGCTGAAAATCTTCCCACCCCTGCTCTCCTTGAATGTGGCCAGCGTTAATGGCTTGGAAAATCTGTTCATCCGTCATGGGGTGGAGAGAGGCGAGGGCCACATTTAAAATCGGAAGTGCTCTCTCGAAGGAGGACTGCGTCATGAACTTCATGTTGCACTGCAGCAAGTACAGTTCAGACAGAGACACGGGCACGACCTTGTAGCTGGCACTTTTAATGACCAAGTGTCCCCTCTGGAAGAGGTCCAAGGTGAGCTTCAGGTACAGGTAGGAGCCGAGGCTCCGCAGCACCAGGTGGCTGCTCACTTTGCCGATGAGGGCGGCATCAGCCTTGCCGTTCAGGGAGATGTTGCTGAGGATGTCCTGGCTGCTGTGGACCCTGTGCTGGACATAGGCATGCAGGTCACTGTGAATGTCTTTGTTGTCCGGGAAGTCATCTAAGGAAAGCTTGATGAATGGCAGTGCACTTATGATTTCCTGTGAAAACACCAAAACCCCAGTGTCATTCCACAGAGATTTCTTTTTTCACTGGAGCAGCATTTCAAACCAGACTCACTAGTTTTCTTCCACGGAGGATTTTCATGGATTACAGGGACTCATTGTTTTGTATTAAAACATGTAATAGGATAAGCTGACGATAAAAAGCTTATGTGAAAGAAATCCTGACGTGAGACTGAATCAGTAAAGGCTTTCCAGGGGCCATCACCTGAGGACTCAGAGCTCAGCTGGAACTAAGAGCCCTTGGCAGACAATGTCAATCTGTCGGTACCAGCAACGGGCTTTCAAGACCCTGCCTATGACCCAATGCCCATAACCCTTGTACGGAGCAGCTGGTTATAAAACAAGGACAAACACAGCCAGCACCATACAGTGGAGAACAGGGTCAGACACCAGGACAAGAGGCACCCCTCCCTGCCCCCTGCACCAGATACTGGGGCTGTCTAACTGGACCAGGGAATCTGAAACCAGCCCCCGGGCGGTATCCCAGTGCCAACAATGCTGCCGCACTTTGCAACAGCCACTATCATTGTTTTAATTTTTTTAAAAAAACACACTTTTAAACTGATGTATAACATACATACAGAGGTACAGGAACCTGAAGTATGCAGTGTCATTGATTTTACAGTCTACCCGGGTAACCAGCCACCAGAAAAAGAAGATCGCCACCTCCCCAAAGCCCTTTGTGTCCCCTCCTTCCAGTCTCCACCCCCCTCCAAAGATACTAACAGCAGAGATGAGTTTTGCTACCATTTTTTTTAACCTCCCACTATCATTTCTGAAGTACGTCCTCATTAAATGTAATAATTTAATGGAATAACTGTAGGAGACAGGCAAAGAACAATTACTCCCATTTTACACAGATGGTGACTGAGCTGCTGAAAATTTAACACAGCCAGTAACACCCTGGACTCCTGTTCCAGTGCTCTGCTGATCTTCAAGTTCTGCTAAGCGTGTAAAAAAAATTACTGAAGTACACACGTATCAAATATGCAGAAAAACAAGCATCAAGTTCAACTGAGCTCTATTCTATTTTAATGAGAATTGCCCTCTTATTTTTAAATGAATAGCATCATAACAGGGCAAAAACCAATATCCAGTATCTATCGTCTTTACTAAAAAAGGCTAAGGGTAGAGGGAGGGAGTTAATGGCTAATTTTAGGGTTAAAATGGGAAGGAGGGGGGTGAGAAGAAAGAAAGAAAAACCACTCTTCACCCAGATGCGAATGTTACCCCATGTTTAAGTCATGACAAAAATGGATCTTCTCTCAGAATAAGCCTTAAAATCTCTTGCCTTCATCTCTCCCTCTCCCCCTCATAAAAAACAAAGCTCCAATCCAAGCCATGAAAATAACTGCTGTTAGGAAAAGCTTTAAACTCTTAGACCTTTTAGCCAGACACCTCAAACAGCTCATGTTACTGGCAGAGGAACTTAAACTGGTTTCACTTCAGAAACTTGAATTATGGTAAGCCGAAACTAGGTATTTCCACTTTAGAAGCTCGGGTACAAGTCAGTGCTAACAGAAAACTTACCTGACACATCTTGATAAATATGCCTTGGGGGAGAAAAAGGTCAGGATTTCACCACTTTGGGGCTCTGTGGACTAATTTTTCAAAGTCCTAATATAGTTTCCAATTGAGCAGCTAAATGGCTTATGACAGTTTAAATTATTAGTATTAATCACTATAAAATGTGAGTGGGGACTTAGAAAGAGATTTGAGAATTTTTCTGTTACCTGGAAATTTGCTCTTACAGTCACAATCAACTTCAACCAGACAGGAAATTTAGAAATAATTTTGGTAATAAATGAAGAAAGCGTATCTCCATAATCAGGTTTATGAAACTCAGCTTCATTTAAGCCATCAATCAAAATAATATATTCTTCTTCAGGAATTTTCTGCTCTAAAGGAGAAAATAATTTTTTTTAATTAAGAAATTATACATTTCTATACGATGGCACCACACAGTGTATTTTAATGCACAATTTAAAGTGTTAGGCAAAACTAAAAAGGTTTACATATGGCAGAAGAAATGGTTTTCACAGAAGCATATATTCTATTAAAGTTATAATGAAAACCGGAGCTCTGAGCCAAAAGAAAACCAATTCTCACAAAACAGTTTTCAGAAACATATTGCATTACACACATTAGCAGAAACTCACTCATGCATATAATGCCGTTAGCTTTTTGTACACTACTGCCACTGGAGTGAGCTGCAGTGAAGATAACTCTCTCACACACAGACCAAATCTGGAAAGGACATTTGGTCCTCCATTAGAAGTCCGACACTGATTCCAAGTAAGGAAAACTGATGCTTCAAAGGGCTACCGGGCCCAGCTTCACAGACTCCCAGAACCCAGGGCTCTTTCAACAGGCCTGCATCCGGTTTCCAACTTATTAGTGCCACTTTCTGCCCACGGAGCTGAGGAGAAGTGATGACATACCTGTTTCCATTCTCCTTATCTCTAAACACCTTCTGGCAGGTATACTAGGTCAAAGGTGAAGTGCCAAGGACAGGGGTGGGGAAAACAGGGCCCATAATGTTATTAGCATCCCCTGTCTTGCAGAATATTCAGGGGCAAAATTCAAACTGAAACCTCTAGAACACGCTTTAGGCTGAAGCTCAACTGGTTTCAAGGTTTCAAGCAAGGGCCCTGAAAAAAAACAAACCTGTTGCCATCGAGTCGATTCTAACTCATAGAGACCCTGCAGGACAGAGGAGAACTACGCCATAGAGTTTCCAAGGAGCGGCTGGTGGATCTGAACTGCTAACCTTTTGGTGAGCAGCCTGAGCTCTTAATCACTGCACCACCAGGGCTCCAAAAACCCCCAAGCCATCAAGTTGATTCTGACTCATAGTGACCTTATAGGACAGAATAGAACTGCCTGATACAGTTTTCAAGGCTGTAAATCTTTATGGAAGTAGACTGCCATGTCTTTCTCCTGTGGAGTGGCTGGTAAGTTTGAACTGCTGACCTTTCTGTTAGCAGCCCAGTGCTTTAACTACTGAGCCACCAGGGCTCCTTCCCTGAAAAATCATAGTGCACTAATTAATCATTGTATCTCCCCTCCCTCCACTACCTAGGAGTGCAAAATACACAGGCAACAGTCCTCTCAGGCACAAGTCATCTAAGTAACCTACAGTTACACGTTAACTACTTTGGAAACATTCAGAGACAGTTCAGGGAAGGGGAACGAGAGCTGCACTGATTCACATCCTCTCCCTGCTTTCCCCTTCCTCTCAATTCTACCTCAGGGCCAAGCTGACCACCCCACTTTTGGGGACACGCAGAGTATTCTGGGTATCACTAGTTGGCGGGGGGGCGAGGAGGGGCTTTGGGTGGCTGCTCAGAGGTACCATGTCTCAGGTTTGTGAGTGGCTCCAGCACGCCTCTCTTGAAAGCTGCCACGGGGTCCTGCACACAGGATCGCAGGCTCAGCATACTCTGGAGCTGGGGCTCCTTGATCAGAAGGTCTCTGTAAGCAGCCAGCTGATGGGACCGGCAGAGCAAAGCTGCGATGCTATGCACAAACTCGGGCACCAGGCACGTGTATGTGTTGTCAGCCTGGCAGTAGTGGTAGGCCACGACCTAGGGGGAAGCAGAGCTGTCAGCGCCAGCCACCCACTTTTCCACATGAACATGGTTCCCCCGGTTCACTGAGATCATGAGATACATCGCTTCTGTTCCCAAGACCGAGCCATTATTTAGCTTAATTGATCCATCTAGGCCTTCATTCAATCACGTGGTTTGCTAAGTTCTAGGCAGACCTTTAATTGCTGCCACTAATCAATCTTGATTAGGACTAAGATCAGCCCAGGTTACTCTATATTGAATATAAATGAATGAAGTCACTCATAAAACCTAAAGTCTAGCCCGGCTTAAAGCAATTCCAAGCAATCCCAACGTTCTTGACATCAAAAAGTATCATGTTCACTATATTTCTGATTTCAAAAATAAAAGCACCTCCTTGAGAAACCCTTTTGCTGCTCCCAAAAAGCATATGAAAAGGAAGGAAGGACGGACAGCCAGGTTTCAGCCCCTTCACCACACCCACACTTCTTTAAGTGCCAAGCTCAACATGGACACTCTTTGAAGGATGAAAATCAGAAAGTGCCACATTTCTGCCTATAATACAAAGGGACACATAAGAGCAGAAAGGTAGCTTCCCAGTTTCTGGGGAAATAGTTACAGTACTGAGAGAATGAGGAGTGTTCTCTGTTAAAATGGAGCCGAGGGAAGTGCCAGATATGGAATTATCTTGAAAGTGGAAGGTTCACTATACAGAACGAAAAGTCTGGTACTTTTCCAAATGAGGATGAAAGGCGGTAAGAAGGTGGAAAAGGGCAAAACACATTTGTGTAAAGCGCTTATTGCTTTTCAGAAGCACATGAGTCCCTGCCATGCCACTTAGCTCTATAAGCCTGTGTGTGGTAACTAGGACAAGAGCCAGTAGTCACAGTTCACATCTCAGGGCAACAGACACAGAGGCGAAAAACCTTGCCAAGGTGACATAGTCAATGAAAGATTTGGGACTAGAATCCAGGTCTGTAGACTCTAAGTAGCAATAATAGATGTGGGTAAACTTTTCTTAGATCAGTTTGAAACTGCCATGTGACTCCTGTTTTAGATTAAATTTATCATCAACACTCAGAGGAAAGCTGTCTGCTCTTCAGCTCTCACCTGGACAGAGATTAGCAGTAATTTACGTGACCACTCATGAGCTTGTAGAGACCACCATGCAGCTGTCCACAACAAGACATCAGGTACCACAGTTCAACATGGTGTTTTGTAAAGTAAGTTTTGCAACCCAAGAGTGGGTCAGTCATGAAATCAAATTGTAGTCACAAACAACATTTTTTTTTAATATATAAAAAGAATTTAAAATACCAGAGTGTATCATAAAATGCAGAGTCCCTGGGGGGTATAAATGGTTAATGTGCTCAGCTGCTAGCCAAAAGGATGAAAGTTCAAGTCCACCCAGAGGGGCCTCGGAAGAAAGCCCTGGTGATCTTCTTTCAAAAAAATCAGTCGTTGAAAACCTTATGAAGCACTACTCTGACACACTTAAGGTTGCCGTGAGTCAGAATCAACTCAACAGCAACTGGTTTATCATAAAACGTAAGAATAAGTATGGATTTATAATGCTTTGCTTCAGTTACATGTACAATTACGCATGTTTACAATTATGTGTCTTAGTGTAAGATGTATTTCTTATTGTGTGTCGCAAAAAGGGACTCAATAATCAAGAAGCAGGGGTGGCTCTGAAGTCTGTGCTATATCCCACATTTCAGATCACCTATTCCTGATGAGATGACTGTGAATCAGTGGTCAAAGCATCAGGGCTGACCAGGTAAAGTGAGGACAGCTGTGATCTGAGAAGCAAAAGAAAGGAGAAGGGATCTGGGGCAGAGAACCATTCGTTCAGCTCCCCCTCAAGGGTCTTCCTCACCAAATGCGCCTCAACCATGGTCATCTCTGGTGGTTCTCTAGCTCCACTGCCTCCCACCATCGCTGCCAAGGTGACCCAAGCAGCTCACTAGAAGTGAGAGATGTAACCGTCCTAATGCAGGAGGGGCAGCTTATGAACCAGTGAAGGATGCTGAGCAGAGGGGAAATTTCTGAACGACCTTGATGACCATGAATTTTGGGAGGGAAGGTCTACCAAGTCTCTTTCACATCACAAGTAACTTCTGACAGAAAACACAGGGAGCCAAGAGCCCCTGGCAACAGACTCAGGTGGAAGAAGTCTGAGTCAAGTTAAGAGCTCCCAAACTTCTGATTCTCATACCAAATTAAAGACAGCAACTGCTTACAAAGATGGATTTGTGGCAAATGCGTACGGTATCTTCTGCTGTTCTGAGGAACTCTTTTAATCGACTGTTTGAGACAGATGAAAGCCCAGTGTGTTAAGATAGACCTTTATTTTCATTAACATCTTTTATTTGTTGTAGACTACCACGATTTTACCAAAAGCTATGCCTCTGCATTAAGCAACTGTCATTTCTGATTTAAGATCTTTTTACATTTCTCACAAGCCACACTAACAAATGTCTGTCTGTCTCTCTCTCTTTGGAAGGCTCCCCAAAAAACAAAAGGAGATTACCTTAGAAGCAAGGTATTTCACTGCATCCTCCCTTGGTCTCTGGTTTTCAGGAGTCCCAGACCCAGACCCAGGGTGCATTTTAGCCATGTGGGTACCACTTGTGGAAGAGCCCGGTGAAAGCAACGGAGTGAAAGGAAGATCCTGGGAGGGATCTGAAGCTGCAAGGAAAAGAGACCAGTTTCATTATTTACAGCAGCAGAATAAGGGGTAGGCTGCGATACTGCATACATGTCTTGATTGGTTCCAGTGAGTATTTCAATTGGTAATTAATATACATGGTACAGAATTCAAAGGGTCCAAATGAGAACATATGTCTCCCTGAAGCTGGAATCACTGTTTCCAGCTTCCTTTAGTCTTTTTTTAAAAACATAATTTGCTTTTGTTGTTGTTGTTGAAAACATACACAGCAGAACATACAGCAATTCAACAATTTCTCCATGTACAATTCAGTGACACTGGGTACATTCTTCCATTTGGGTACCCATTCTCACCCTCCTTTTCTGAATTGTTCCTCCTCCATTAACATAAACTCACTGCCACCCAAGCTTCCTATCTAACCTTTCAAGTTGCTATTGTCAATTTGATCCCATACAGATCGTTAAGAATCATTCTTTCTTCTACCCCTACAGAAAGGAAGGACACGTAAAATTTGGCCTTTGGCCAGGGCAAGGATTAGGGTCACGGGAATGAGGCAAATTTTAAGGAGATGCTGAGTTGAATACACAACTCAGTAATCAAGCTGAATAATATCTTAATGCAATATTTAAAAAATCAAAATTATTCCTCAAAAAGTCAAACACAGAATTACCATATAACCCAGTAATTCCGCTCCTAGACATATACCCAACAGACTTGAAAGCAGGGATGCAAACAAACACTTGTGTACCAGTGTTCATCACAGCACCATTCACAATAGCCTAAAGGTGGAAACAACCCAAACGTCCATCAATAGAAGAAAGAATAAAGGGACATACGCAAAATGGAATATCAGCCAGCCATAAAGAGAGACAAAATCTTGATATATACTACAACATGGATAAACTCTGAACCTAAAAACATCATGCCAAGTGAAGTAAGTCAGACACAAAACGACAAACACTGTATGATCCCACCCAACTGAAATATCTAGTATAGGTAAAGGCATAGAGACCAAAGTATATCAGTGGTTACCAGGGGCCAAGTTGGGGACAAAGGGGGAGTCATTGCTTAGGGGGCACTCTGCTAAGGGTGATGAAAAAATTTGGAAATGGATAATGGAGATGGTTGCCCAACATAATGAGCACAATCAATGTCACTGAATTGTACACGTAAAAAAGCTGCAAATGGCAAATGCTTTGTACATATTTTTACCACAATAAAAAAAAAAATTAATGCAAAAAAATTCATGAGGAAAAAAGGTCAACATTTTAAATAAAGTCAGAATCTTACAGGGATGGGATACTATCTTAACCCAACTGTCTTTAGTTGGTATTTCTTGATGTCTAAAAGATTATATTCCCTGAATTCCAGGTTCTTGCTTTCAGATTAAGAACTGAAATCTTTATTTTTATTAAAATAATATTTTAGCAATGTTAAAAGATCCATATAAAAAGAAAAATTCATCTACCAACACACTACTCCAGCTATTCAAGCTATTTTCAGTTGACCAAGCTTCCTTTCAGACCATTATCTCTAAACTTTATATCCACACAGCTGTCACTATGGCATAAACAGAATTTTGTTTTCAGCTTTTGCTACTTAGTATTATATTATAAAGAGGTTTCCATGTTGTGGATGGTCTTCATATTTAACATATTAGTGGCTGTGTAATATTCCCGTCCTATTGCAGTACCATAATTTTACTTAACAGACTAAGGTAGTGGAAAGAGTAGGGTCAATCCACGGTTCCAGGCATGGATAAATACTTTTTATTAAAAACAAAAAAGCAAAACTTTAATGGTTCACTTGTAACTGCTCACCTCGTTTAAAGACAGTTTATTTTTACTTTATTGCACATAAAATATGCAGTGGATGGTCAAACATTTGGCTACTCCATCCCATTTCTAATTCAGTCTTTATAATTTTGATAAATCCAGCATAGAAGACACAAAGGATATAGAGAACAGGGTACAAAAGAATTCTGCATTGGGTTCCATCTGGCTTGTTCTACCAGGAGCCCACCCCCTTGGGTTTTTGAAACAAAAGTCCACTGGGACACGTGATCAGGCCTCACTGCCTCATCTCCACCTGTATACAGAGGAGGACAGGGATCAGAGTTCAGAAGGACACCAAGGGAAAGCTGGCCTCCCCCCAGGTTAAAGCTAGATATGTACATGCTACGGAAGATTTAAGTATTCAAATAATTCTCTAACATATGATTGTAAACCTGATAGAGCAGCTGGAACAACTGGAGAAAAATTGGTAATTTATGTCTACCCAGATGCAATTTCCTCTATCCATCATGTATTACTACAATGAATTAGACAAGTGATTAAACATGGACATACTTTTAGGTGATGAACTGGGGCTGTTGGACGCAATCTGCCTCATGCGGCCTCCGTGGCAGCTAAGTGCCACCAACTTAGAAATGATTGCCGTCTTCCCAAATCCCACATTTCCAACAACAACTGCTCCTCTATTTTCTGCCAGTTCTGTGTTCCTCAAATTTTCTTCTATCTGGTGAAAGAGCCAATCCCTTCCCACAAACACAGAGTCTGTTGTTATACTCGGTACTTCAAACAACAAGGGTTTCAACAAAATCTCTTGTGGCTTGTAAGGAGCAAATCGTGCTTTGAAGGGGAAAAAAAAAAAGGATTATTATTTTAGAAGAATGTCATAATTTTATATGCCAAAATAATCAGAAAATATTACCTCACGTGTTATACTTAGCATAGCTTTTAGCTTTCCCTCACAAGGAATCTGTAAGTATTTCCAATCTAGTTCTACCAGTACTTCTGGTAGTACTGCATTTATCATACCACATTGGTCCTACAAGGTGTCCTATGAAAATGAATTTCTAGTCCTTTCTCGTCTCAGTTATCTTCATGACTCAGAGACACATGCACTCAGGGTTAGAGTAAGTGATGCAAATGGCCACGCTATGTCTCATCAGTTTATCTGAAACCATATGTAGGACATGTTTCTTCCACTACCCTATGAGTAAAATGGAAATGCATTTTCCTAGAGACAGGGCCACAGCTCTCATGGAGTGTAATGATGCTTTGCCCATTTGGTGAGGCAGCGGACCACAAAACTGTCCATTCCAGGTAGACTCAGGAGGTGGCCAATAGTCCAAAAGGAACTGAAATAAAGCTGATTCTTTGTTGATAACAGAAAATCTAGTGAGTATTCATCCACCCCTCACTTCAAAATAACTTATTACAAAATTATTTTTCAACTCCAGAAGTTAATCATGTTTCAAGAAAGAATTGCAAAGATGTTAAAGAGGTCTGCCTGCAGCACACCTTAGAGAAAAATGTTTAGCACACACACACTGCACATCATTTTTTAAAAAACAATTTGTTTAAATGCTGGTTATCACAGACTTTCAATGTCTGGTGAATGAGCTAATCATATCCATTATTACAGCTGATGCAAGGACAAACACCTTCCTGTGCCCTACCTCCTGCTGTATTGTGCCACGGTAATCTAATAGACGTTCGAAGTGGAGCGTTTCGTTGTCCATCTAAGTAACTCAGATCTTCCAGTTTGGTTGAGCTCGTCGCTGTAATATTAAACAGAAGTTTAGTCTCTTCAAAGTTGAGTTCAATTTCATACCCAAACTACTTTAAATTATAAATTAATAAGCAATTCAGTTCAGGCTTTCAACAAAATTTACTTAAAAGCATTTTTGGTTTTGTTTGTGCCAGTTTATTTCCCCAGAAATATCGTTCATCAAAAAGTGGTAAAAACAAGAGCTCCTCTATCTTCAGCCAAAGTCATGTTGATAATGGTTGCCATAATTATCCATTATTCCTGGAAAGAGACAGACTTCACCATGAATTTTTATGAGGAACTTGGCAAGTTGTCACTAAGTAAAGTTTCAAATTAACCTGCAGACACACAGCATGGTACTAGACGCCACTCTGCTGCTTGTGGGAGCCCTCTGCTCTTGCTGGGAATTCCATCCAATCTTGTTAATTAAACGAGCAGTTTCTGTGTGTATCATTCCACAGCACCCAGAATGCTAAAAGTCAGCCTCAACAGTAGAAGTATCCACATGGACTTTATCAGAAATAAACATATTCATAAGCTTCAAATGCTTATGCATATGTATATGCACATATATGTATATAGGTTCCTGGGAGGCATGAACAATTTGCCCTGGACTATTAACATAAGGAGTCCTGGTGGCGCAGTAAAGAGTTTGGCTGCTAACCTAAAGGTCGGCAGTTCAAATCCACCAACCGCTCCTTGGAAACCCTATGGGGCAGTTCTACTCTGTCCTACAGGGTTGCAATGAGTCGGAATCAACTCAAAGGCAGCGGGTTTAATTTTTATTTTTTGGTTATTAACCTAAAGTTGGTGGTTCAAACCCACACAGTGGTGCCATAGAAAAAAAGCCCTGGCGATCTGCTTCAGTAAAGATTAAAGCTAAGAAAACCCAATGGAGCAGTTCTATTCTGTAATACACGGGGTCTCTATGAATCCAACTCGACTCAATGGCAATGGGTTTGGTTTTTTTTTTTTTCTTTTTTGTATATATGTGTGATATGTGTATTTCTTTAAATTTTAAAAATAAACTAATCACATTTACCTCTGACCAAATCAATAAATTCATAGCATACAGATTCCTTATAAAAAACATTAAGGGCCTGTTTAAGTATACATACAAGTTACATTATAAAAATAACCAGTGCAAAAGAATTTTGCTAATTCTCAGCAAATCTTGTAAGCAAACATGTACATGCTTTTGCCTTTTAAGAAAACCCCTTCTTATTTACGTACACATCCTAGGTCACAGTGAGAGAAATCTAAATAAAATTAACCTAATATGGTTTACGGATTAATGGCCCAACATAAAATACCACTGACCTCAGACATATGATTATCTGCCAGGAAAATAAAATAGACACATAATTTGGGAACAACTGAGGAGGCTACAGGGAGTTGCGTTCCAAAGACTAGGGCTTCTAAGGACTGGGAGAATCACCAGTGGGGCCAAGCTGTGAGGGACAGGAGTCAAGTTGGGCCATCTGTCTTGTGGACACACTCTGGCTACCTTACAGGCTCAACATAGTCACCAGCTGCAGCCCAGCACCATCTGTCCAATCTTTGCCCATCCTATTTCCCCTCCTAAGGCTGCAGTCCTTTTCTTCCTCCCTGTTAGCACCACCCCTTGTGCCGGACTACTAACCAAAAGATTGACAGTTCAAACTCGCCCAGTGTGTGTTGGGTTCATTCAACAACCATGTAGGTAGCTCTATAGCCTAACTCTGTGATAAGAGTGTCCTCCCTCTTGCTCCATCCTCCAAAGGGCCATCAAATATGTGCCCCACTCACCTTCCCACAGCCAGGGGTGACACCTGGCACCCTGACTTTACAGTAGCAAGCCTTTATGCTTCTGTGACCTTTGGGTGTATATCCACAGCCTGCTTACACACTGTGTACACATTTACGTGAATACTCCATGCACATAGCCAGCTACCACACAAATCTTTCCCATTCAAGAGATTCAGCTAATTCCTTAAGCAAGCTAAAATAAACTCATGGCAGCCCCATGTTTTACAGAGTAGAACTGCTTCATAGTGTTTTCTTGGCTGTAATCTTTACAGAAGTAGTCCTCCAGGGCTTTCTTCAGTGGAGTCGTTGAGGGTGGAGAGGGGTTTGAACCATCAACCTTTAGGTTAGCAGCTTACGCCACCCAGGCTCTCCTTCTTTCCAGGTCCTTCACAACCAGGGCATGTGAAACTTCCTAGAGGGTCAACTGGACCACACGCATCACCCCAATCTCCTGACAATAACACAGCTTGGAACATATTTCTAGGCTCTTCCTGGCCTCACTGTGAGTACAGTCATTATGTCAGGGTCTGAGTTAGAAAGGTCAGCCACAGCTGTAACCCAGGAGCCAATTCACGTCCAAGCTGGAACTGCCATGGAGTTACTTTGACTTGCTGCTTTAGCCAGGAGAATACAAAGACATGTAGAACCTCCAAAAAGGACTTCCTATTTCCCTTCTTCTCTTAACCCCTTTGAATATAACATTCAGGTTGTAACTTTGTGGCAATTCAAAAGATAAAAAATATGAGACTATAAAGGACATCCGAATAAAGGATCACAAAAAAAACAAACAAACAAACCCCAGTTTGACACAGATGCAGAGGAGATGTTGAGACTTCTAATGTCTCTGTTTTCAGATTTCCAGTCACCATGGCTTCAGCTCCAAAGTATGCAACAGAGACCCCTCAGCAACTCACAGCTCTGTCTGATGCTCTATTTCAAACACAAGTAAGCTGGGCTGAAACAGAGCATTGCTCAGCAGAGCTGCAAGCCACCAGCCACCAGCTACCTCTGCTTTAGAGGCATTTTCACAGCCACTGATAAAAACACTAGAATCAGAGCAATGAAATTTCAGCTGCTTAGCTACGCATGCAGGTCATCCCCACCTACCCAGAGCAGGTGGCAGGGACCACCTTCTGCCTATAGTTGAGTCTTGGACATTACCAGAAGAATCAGACTCACTGTCATATTTAACAATAAATGCTTTCCAAATCCTAAACAATATTCAGAGCCAAGAAAAATCATAGGCAAAGCAATAATTGCTTGCTGCAATCAAACTACTGCTAACATCTCTACAGTTAAATTAATTATACACTTACTGTGCACACACACGGTGTCTAACATCTGGGTGAGCAGCACCTTTCAAGATGCTGCAGGAAAGTGGTTTCTCGATGGGGATAGAGCAGGGGGGGCTTCTCTAAGTGGCGCAAAAAGAAACATCTGCTGAAACTGTAAGTCATGGATGGACCCTTCTATCAAAGGTAAATGCCAATAAGTCCAGGGAAATTACCAGTTAGAGTTTCAAGAAAATTGGATGATAACTGTGTTTGTAGTTTTCCTGGAAAATTGAACTCTGCTCTGTGATCCATTAGAAAGTATTTCAAAAGAAAAAAAAGTAGTTAACATTGGTGGAATCCAATTACCCAACTTCTAGATTACCTAAGATATAATTTTAAAGGAGTCTCATCCTGTTTTAAAAAGAAAGGAGAAAGGTGCCCGTGTCATACATTTTGATGTGAGATGCAGTAATAACACTCAACAGCAGCATTCCAAATCAATCCCACCGCAACAAACACCTTTAACAAAGAAAATCTCTGTAGAGTCAAACAATCTCCAAACCTAACCAACTTACTTTGACAAAAAATTTTCACTGTACTAGATAGTTAACAGACAACTAGAGTTCTTTGCAACAGGCACAATTACAGGGGCTGCGTCCCATAGGGAGGCTGTGACTAGCAGCCTCAGAGCACCCTTCCTTACTCTGCCCACACACACCAAACCACCCTTCCTACCAAATGGCAATTTATTTGTGTTAACATGCAAATAATTTGAAGAGATTTCAGTATATGGTCTCTTACATATTACTTTAACCCAACTGGTTTCCTTCTTATTATTGAGCATTGCTCACTGCCCTGTTTAACAACCTGCCTTCTAATCACTAGACAAATAGTGCTGTAGACCTGAGTCTTATTCTTTATAATGAAAATTGAAAAATCTTGCCATTCCCTTTTAGCTTTGGGGTAGGAGGGTCAGCTTTGGGGTAGGAGGATCAACAATGAAGAGTCTACCAGACTCCTAGCTTGTTAACAGACACTATAAGGTACTGGCTTCCCTTTTTCCTTCCAAAATTATGCTTTTAGTTTTTAAAATATGCAACAAAGAAATGAGCAAACTCATTAGGCCAGGCAGCCCAAGCTCAAATCCAGAGGTAAAATCCTCCCATTCCATAGGTCTAGCTCAAAAGCATGTATAGAAAAGCTAATGAATGAGCACAGCAGAAATCAGAAAGCCCTGCTCTATAATCACTGCAGTCTCCTGGAAAATCTCAGCTTACACCCACTGTCACTTCACATAGCAGGAGAGCACATAAAAGAGTATCAGGCAGAAAACACAATCCTGAATGGGGTGCTTTTAACACTCTTAAAATTAATGTATTAATGCATTTCCTAATTTTAAAATAGCTTGATTAAGTTGAATACAAGTCTGCCATTTGTTGAAGTCAATAAAGACGTCAGGTTCTGGGATAATACAAAGGAACCACTCATCAGAACTAGGTAATTATGACCTAAAGAGCCATGTGTGCAACATACTATGTTAAAGAGGAGATGGCGGTGGGAAGACACAGAGTTTTATGGAGGAATCATCACTCAATATTCATAACGTTCTCTAGTACTTCTCTCTGGCAGACATTCCAAATCCCTTTCCTGGAACAAGGCCATCTACTTCCTTTGAAAGTGAATTAGACTTGTGCCTCAGAACTTTTCCATTAGAGCGATTTATTTATCAGCTGTTTCAGAGTTACATTGTTAAAAAAAAAAAAGAAAAGAAAAGAATCAAAACAAAACCACCCAACAATAACCAGAGTGACCTACACATCCTGAGGAGCAAATTACAGAAAAATCCTTTAATGTAGGAAAAGAGAATCTGGGTCCTTTTCCTTTGCAGAGGAGAAAATTTAAGCCCTACATCAGTAACAAAGAATGACCATAACAATTTCCCCCTCTAAATTCAACCTAAAGGCATGGAGTTCAGAAACTCAAGATCTTACGCCAGACATGCCAGCTCAGAGGCAGAGCATTCCTTTCCCTACCCACCCGAAGCCAATCTCCTTGCTTGAGGACCACCCACTACCACCCCCTGACCAGTCAACAGTCAAAGCCATTTGTGTCCTCCTCTCGCACTTCCAGCTGCTATATCTTGCTAAGCCTGTCTTGCCCATTTTCATTTCCTCTTCTGAGTGCTTTCACTTCCAGCTGTTTATGGTTTCAGCTGTGAGCTCCATTACAACTAAATTATATAGAAATTCTACTTCGTTTCTGTATGATGGGACTCAATTACACAAAAATAACTTTGAAGGTTGGATTAGAAACTCTTAGAGCTAATATTAACAATTCATTCTAAGTACCAATCCCCATATTTTCTTAGATGTAATAAAAAGGCATAAGTTTACTTAGGCTTAAAATACCAAAAACTAAGGGGAGAGTTTTTGTACTTTCTTCTTCTCACACACAAAGAGCCATATAGCCCAAATCACAGATTTACAGAATTCCAGCACAGAGGGGTCGCTTAAAGACCGTTTAGTGCAGCCTTAGCACATTTACAGGTGGGTGAACGGAGGCCTGGCCAAGTTAAGTGTTTGAGCCAAGCACACAAAGCTGACTTGTGCCTGGATTAGAGTCCCAGTCGACAACTTGTTACACTGGACCACGTGAAGATAGTGAACACAGAGCACCTCAGGCCCAGTGAGATAACCCTTTCATTGAGAGGCGAGGCCTTACCTGCAACTGAGTTGGGCCGTGGCATTATTAGCGAGCTGGAGCTCTGAGAATAAGGGACCGGACCATCTCCAACTGAGGATTCAGCTTTGGGCAGCAAGCTCTCTGCTGACCCAGTGGTCTCCTCTTCTGCCACCGGGGAGCAATTATCTGCCCTGCGATCATGAAGCACTCCCTTCTGAACCCCCAATCTTAGGCTTCCGTCTTTACTCCACTCCAAACTGGAGCCACTTCGGTCATCATTTTCGGATGAACTTGTAATTGTGGCTGAAATGAGAGACCAAAATACTTTGAAGGAGGCCAGGCAGAGATGGGGTTGTTGAGATTTAAAACATACACACTGCCCTCCCATGATCCAATGGAAAGTTTTTTCTGGTCCACACAGATTTTTATCAAAGTATGCATACAGTGTATTTTGGTAAATTAGAAGAATGTTGCTTATCAGGGGAAATAAACAGCTAAATCACTCTAGAGGGAATGAAAAAAAAATCCTGATATGAAAATGAAAAAGCTATCTAAAAGTATCTGAGAATTAATGGTAAATCTATGTAATTTACAGATAATCTATCCTCTTTTTAACAATGATGAATCGCTTGCAAAACAATTCATATCTTGTTAAATCCCTTTGAACCTTTAAATATCTTTTCCAAATTAACATCACTTACTTATTGGGGGTGGTGGTGAGGAAACACAACGGTTAATGCATAAAAAACAAAGAAACTCTGTAATAGCAAAAACACAATTGTAAAGTCAATCTGTATACTGAGCAAATAATCTGAGAAGCTGGACTATACGAAGAAGAATGCAGCATCAAGACTGGAGGAACTCACTTACAACCTGCTATATGCAGATGACACAACCTTGCTTGCTGAAAGTGAAGGGGACTTGAAGCACTTAGTGATGAAAATCAAAGACCACAGCCTTCAGTGTGGATTACACTTTAACATAAAGCAAAAAAATCCTCACAACTGGACCAATAAGCAATATCATGATAGAAAGAGAAAATACTGAAGTTGTCAAGAATTTCATTTTACTTGGATCCACAATCAACACCCATGAAAGCAGCAGTCAAGAAATCAGATGATGTATTGCATTGGGCAAATCTGCTCCAAAAGACCTCTTTCAAGTGTTAAAAAGCAAAGATGTCACCCTGAGGGCTAAGGTGCACCTGACCCAAGCCATAATATTTTCCATTGCCTCATATGAATGTGAAAGCCGGACAATCAACAGGGAAAACCGAAGAATTGATGCCTTTAAACTGTGATGTTGGTGAGGAATACTGAATATACCGTGGACTGCCAGAAGAACAAACAAATCTGTCTTGGAAGAAGTACAGCCAGAATGCTCCTTAGAAGCAAGGGGGTGGTGACACTCTGTCTCACGTACTTTGGACATGTTATCAGAAGGGACCAGTCCCTAGAGAAGGACATCATGCTTGGTAAAGTAGAGGGTCAGCAAAAAAGAGGAAGACCCTCAACAAGATGGATCGACATAGTGGCTGCAACAATGGTTTCAAACATTGCAACGATTGTGAGGATTGTGCAGGACCGGGCAGTGTTTCATTCTGTCGTATATGGGGTCACTATGAGTTGGAACCAACTCGATGTCACTTAACAACAACACAAGTCGAGCAGAAAATTTGATCCTTAAACTTTATAATATCTGTTCAAGATGATCCAGAGAAACTGGCTTTATATTATTTTTTTCAGTGGCACAGAATGGAATACCTCTATGTAATCAGTGCAGCAAAAGTACCAGCACGGGAAGTATACTGCAGAATGAAAAGTTAAGCTCAAAGAAAGAAAACCAGCACTGGAGAAAAAAAAAAACGGGGTGGGGGTGGGGAATGAAAACAGCCTTTTCTAGGCATCTTGACAAAAGAGCAGGTGGAGTATAATGGAAGAAAGAAGCAATCCTAACCCTACCTAGTGTCTATGAACAGCCACCTCTAATTTGAAGATGCTGAGCCACACATGATCCGCTTGCAACCAGAGGTCACCGGGCCACTCACAATGTGCCACTGACCTGACACTGCCCTGGAATCCTGCCAGCGTCCTTGAGAACAGAGGCCATGTCCAATGATCCCTTTGTGTTCTCTATTTGGTTCTAGCAGCCCAGGCCTTTAACTGCAACCCTGTTAAACGGGAGTACACCTAGCTGAGCACATTCAGACTCCAGCTGCCTGAATTAAGCTGCATTATCAACACACTATGTTGACATACGCCTTATCAACAGGCTGGTGAATTAGCTCAAATGGAGTCAGTTATTTACATCAAAAGCCTGAAGGGTTTTGTTTTGTTTCTTTTTTACAATGATCTTTCAGGTTCAGAAGTAATCAAAAGACAAAAGAATTTCCTCACTGTGACTGCAGGGCACCTTGTCATTAATTCTAAGATGGTCTTTACTCCCCATGCTCCAGCCTGAACCTATCCCCCAGTTCTCCTGTTCAAATGTCCCACCTGCGTGCTGAATGTTAACAGCATCTAACACAAGCTGATCTCTTTCCTTTCTATACACCTAGTAGGTGCTCAATAAATGCTTTGCTTATTGAATGGATGAGCAAATGAACAAACTTCAATTCCACTGTGGTCAGAGACACTACAATTAACCTCATTATTATCAGTTCAAGACTGTCAGCATTATGTCTCTAGCCAAAGGGTAAGCTGATTAGAGGCATGGCCCATCACTTCTTCTGGTGTCTGTCATTGCTCCTAGGACTTCCAAGTGTTCTATCAACAGTATTAACCCTCCTTGCCAACTTGCTGGATTCAAATCACAGCCTTCATTATACTTTTTAATTTATTTCTTTATATGAGCATAAGTATAACAAATGTGACTCTTTCCATCCTAAAAACGCCGATGACGGTTAATAGCAGAGCTAATGTTTACTGAAGGTTTACTATATGCCAGGCACTGTGCTAAGTGCTTTACAAAAACACTAATTTATTAATGAGATTATTGGTTATTAATGCTAATAAATTATTAATGGTAACCTTGTGAATAAGTTATGTGCATAAAATACAGGCAGTCCTGTAACACAGACTGTGTTACAAACCTTTATTTATAAGCTCACTGTTTGGAACTCACAATGTTTTTCCCGGAGACGTGTTGTAATTGGTTAGCTTCCTAGGCTACCTCAATGTCGAAGTTAAGAGAAAAGTTCTCAACTAGGAGGTAAGGGTGATTTGATTGGTTTTACTGTTGTGGTTGTTTTATTTAGGGGCACATATTCTTAAACTGAAAAATAAAGTCGAAGTGATATTTTTCCTCATTTGCTTTCCTTAAGTACCACAGGATTCAGTGGCAGAATTCTCGCCTTCCACGTGGAAGACCCAGGTTCAATTCCTAGCCAACGCATCTCATGTATAGCCACCACCCATCTGTCTCTGTCTGTCTCTGAAGGCTTGCATGTTGCTATGATGCTGAACAGATTTCAGTGAAGATTCCAGACTAAGACAGACTAGGAAGAAAGGCCTGGCAACCTACTTCCAAAAAGCAGTCCATGAAATGAAAACCCTATGGATCACAATGCTCCATCCTCAATCAATCATGGGGATGGCACGGAACAAGGCAGAGTTTCACTCCGTTGTTCATGGGGTTGTCACAAGGGTTAAGTCAGGGGCCAACTCGATGGCAGCTAACAACAGATGCATCAAGTGCCACAGACACGCAGGAGAACCGAACCACCAAGGATCTGAGTCCTAACTTGGACTGCAAGCAGTAGGAACAGGGACTCAAACCTCTTAGCTTCCTACTGCAAGTAATGGCACCCAAAGCAGGTCCTGGGGTCCTGGGAAGCAGCTGAGGAAAGCAGGGAAAGCCTAGGAAGGGCTCGTGGATTGCAGGGAACCCACTTCTCACTGTGTAATAGCAGGTGCCCAGGACTTGATGAGTGGAAACTTTCAGGCCCTGGCAGGGGAAAAAGGAAAATAGGTGGGGGAGGAAGGCCTCCAGCTACAGAACAGTAGCTGGGAAGAGAAGTCCCAGATGGGTAGTCATTTTAAAAGGAGGGTATTATAAAGTCAGTACTTGCAAGCAGGCCACTCTCTAGTGATGAAGAAAGAAGCAGCAGCCCTCCAGACTGCCTTTCTGAAGTTCACCTAAGAAAGGCACTCCACCGTCCACCCACCACAGCTCTGAGAGGTAGGCAGGCGAGCAGCTCTGAAGCCACGCGCCTGTCCACAGAGGACGCCCCACTGAGATTTCCCTGCTTCACAACTATCCCTCTCTGTGATCCAATACCAGATCCAGCCCACACAGCTTTAAGCACAGCCAGAGTGCTTTCATCTCAGCTCAGCTCCGATCAGGCCCTGAAGCAGATCCAGCGGGGCAGATAAGGCCACAGTTTGTTTCCCAGCAAACCAAGAACCACATCAAATAGGGCAGCACCACGGTCTCCAAGAAAGAGAAAGCTGTTCTTACACTAAATGACAAACTACTCAAAAATATTTATTTTTCTTCCAAGCTAATAGAAATTCAAACTCCTACTTAAATTATCCCAGCCACCTTCAACATTATGATAAACAGAGAAAAGACTGAAGTTGTCAAGGGTTTCATTTTACTTGGATCCACAATCAATGCCCATGGAAGCAGTGATCAAGAAATCAAACAACGCGCTACACTGGCCAAATCTGCTGCAGAAGACTTCCAAGTGTTAAAAAGGAAAGATGTCACCTTGAGGACTAAGGTGCACCTGACTCAGGCCATGGTATCTTCAATCACCGCATACACATGTGAAAGCTACACAATGAATAAGGAAGACCAAAGAAGAACTGATGCCTTTGAATTATGATGCTGGCGAAGAATATTGAATACACCACAGGCTGCCAAAAGAATAAACAAATCTGTACTGGAAGAAGTACAGCCAGAATGCTCCTCAGATCAGAAGGGAAGATGGTTAAGACTTCACCTCACATACTTTGGACATGTTATCAGGAGGGACCTGTCCCTGGAGAGGGACATCATGCTTGGTAAAGTAGAGAGTTAGTTAAAAAAGAGGAAGACCCTCAATGAGATGGATTGACACAGTGGCTGCAACAATGGGCTCAAACATAGCAACAATTGTGAGGATGGCACAGGAACGGGCAGTGTTTCGTTCTGTTGTACACAGGGTCGCGATGAGTCAGAACTGACTCAACGGCACCTAACAACAGCAGCAACATGAGTGTTATACTAGTGCTTACTATGTGCTGGGCTTTGTTCTAAGCCCTTATTGTATCTCAACTCACTTAGTCCCCATATCAACCCAATGGGCAGGAAAGCCCCAC